TCGAACCCGAGACCCCTTGCCCAGCAGTCGCACTTGCGACCGCTCGCCCAACGAGGCAGTCATTAAAAGTAAGTTTATTTAAATGAAAACTAGTTCAATAGAGACCAATAACATTTGACCAACAACATGTGTTTAATATATCAATATTGCAGACAGTGCTGTTAAGAAAGACGGAACACCTACAACGTTTGCAAAAGAAAGAGGACTTTAACCACAAAGGTATAAACTTAATTGTTGCTTGCACTTTGAGACTATAATTAAAGAAAATTTCTTAAAGAAAATGCTACTATATTCTTAAAATTCTTTTCATTTAGGTGGGTTTCAAAGCGTCTTAGACGTGATTTTGGAAAACTCGATGACTGAAACCGAGAGTGTATTTAACGATGTTGAGTTGAGGAATATAATGGACAACATGATACTCGCTGCCTTCGATACCACTATCTACCAGATGCTCTACGTTTTGATCTGCATCGGTAGCAGCCCTGAAGTACAGGACAAGATTCTTGAAGAGTAAGCATAGATCAATATTCATATTTTACAATAATCCCTGTTTGGCATGAAACATTTTGCATAATAACTTACCTTTTTTTCAGTATAAACTCAGTTTTGGGTAAAGATAAACAACTTAAAAGCAACAATCTATCTCAACTCGTATATTTAGACGCAGTTGTTAAAGAAGCTATCAGATTATATCCAGTTGGTCCAATGATAGGACGACACACAACAGCACATACGAAGTTGCGTAAGTGTGATTTTGGTACCTACCTAATTAGGGGCGATTTTCTGACAAGTGTGAAAATTAAAGAAAAGCCTTACGTAGAGGCAGTTCATAGTCCACCAATAGACTGTAACGGAATGTTGATGACAAAAAGGATGTCATTTATAAAATTCATATGAGCCAGGTGTTAATAAAGTACCGGTTACGTAAAAATGCAATACCAAATTTCAAATTTCACAGGCAATGTAACAATACCTGCAGAAAGTTCTGTTATTGTGCATATATGGGGCATAAATAGAAACAAAAGATACTGGGGGTTGGATGCGGAGGAGTTTAATCCAGAAAGATGGTTAGATTCCAAGACTATGCCAAAGCATCAAGCTGCATTTGCCACCTTCGGGCCGGGAAGAAGGGGTTGTATCGGTAAGTTGCACTACTCAAACAGTTTTGGACACTAGTTCCTTTAAAGGCATTTGACAATGGTTTAATTTCTTTTACTTGATATTTTGTTATTTAAAACCATCGAATGATAAATTATATGACATATAGAATATAATATATACATATATAGGAGTATAACTTTCATAGATTATCACCGGCTCGTTCCTTTTGTTTTCGAAGGTGTTCCTCAGGGTAACATTTTGTTGCCTATTTTGTTAGGTTCAAACAATAAGCTTAACTAGAATAAAATGTTTTTTACAGGTAAAACATACGCATTGATGTATATAAAAGCGACCGTTGTATCATTATTGCGTAAGTACAAGATTACAGCTGATCATAAGAAAATGAAAGTGGAATGCAGAGTAATGCTCAAACCTTTATCAGGACACTTGATCAAAATAGAAAAAAGGAATAAATAGTAAAATAAATCAAATAGATGATGACACTAAATGAAGGACGTTGAAAAAAAAATGCGGACATAATGGCCCTTAGATATGAGTGGAGCATCAAAATGTAGATGGGTTTTTATGTGTGCGTGTGTAATAAGTTACCACGTTACCACAATTAAAATAACAGATGTACTTCGTTTCAATGTGTTTATGCTCTTTTTTAAGGGGAAAAAATCATCGAATGATTTCTATCGCCTGGGTGAGGCGGGAGGGAGTGTCAGACTTTTCCTGACTAAAAACCACCGCGTTCCTACTCCTAAACTTCAAGCCGGAGCCCCGATATACCCCCGATATAGCCCCGATAGACGTTATCCGTGGCTCGTATCGCCATCAGCCTTATTGTGCCCCTTCCGTGGTTGTCTGATGGCTGATGATGTTTATGCTCTGCGTGTAACCAGGTGCCACAGTCGTTGTTTCAAGATAGGTACTATGTCCGCCCCTTTTCAACGTCCTTGCACTAAAGAGTAAAATTTGAGATCGTGTACACAAAAAGGTTTCATTGAGCATGCAATTGTTGAAACTAGTTTAATATTGAGATATTTAGTTTTTTTTTATATACTTTGAAATGAGTTTTATAGTTTTTGTTATATGGCTGTTAGAGAGTGTAACTAGTACAATTTTGTCATTATAATTATGTCAGACACAGGTCACACCCACTGCCAAATATGGCCATTGTCCCCTATATTGGCAGGTTGCAACTGACCTTGGTATATATTATATTACGATGTCAATGTTATATATTTAAATGGTAATTTAGACACAAACGACTCAGGGTCTCAATTAAAACACATGAATATTGTTCACAATATTTTATTCGTCCAAACACATTCAGTAGGTATTTTATACAAATTGATTGAATCGTAACGAAGATATAAGTATTTATTGTTCTGAGAAGCGTACTTTTAAGATTTTCCTTTTATATATAAAAGATGAAATTAAAGAAAATGTAATATATATTTTTAATTTAGATGTCGTATCTTCAGCCAATTTGTCTTGTCGGTTTATAAAAATGAATGAATTCAAATGGACGATGTTTTTTTTAAGTCTACGAATATTTGGTTAAGGCCATCTAGAAATTAAATGTAAATTAATAATGAGGAAACAAATGTCATCAAATACAACAGAAATATTTAAATCAGAAAAGGTGACACATTAACTTGTGAATTTTGGAAATCATTTTTAACGAAACACGAACACGATTATGAAGATATGAAATTGCTTTGGGACACAATATTTGTTTGAGTTTTCAAGAAAACTAGTAAATAAAAATTTGTTAATAAAATAGCTAGTAGTAAAGAACAGTCGTAAGTCTAGTTTTATTATATTAAGGTAAAGTCTATTTCACAACATTTGGACTATGTGGCTCCCATATTAGCAGAATGAAATTTTTGAAAAAGATTCTTCAAGCTTGTATGTCATTTCTTAATTAGAGTCCACGATAACTTTGAAGCTTGGCATTGTCTTCTTTCTATAGTTGTTATAGATCTGTGTATGATATACGACTTTATACAAAGTTTCTATCCCTACTTGAGGGGCCCATATATCGACCCTTCAAAAGTAGTTATTGGTAGGGAAAAAATGATTATTTTTGTCTTAAAAGCATAACTTTTCATTCTGCCAACATGGGGGCAGATATCTAAGCTATTTTAACAACAGTAAAAATTGCACATTATTTGACATCGACATTTTGTTTCGAAGGCTCTCTTAATATAATTATGTAATATCGTTCTATAAAAACAAGTCATACAAGATATCAAACGAAAATCTATTAAAATTGAATAAAACATATTCGTTACAACATTCGGACTACATCAATGGTAAAAGACAAAGTATGACGATTCATTATTTAATTATATTTTTAATACTAAAAGTTTTTATCCAAAAAGATTTAAAATTTATTTTAAAATCTTGTGGCTCCTGCACTTGATCACTCACTTTACCGTGCATTGTCGTTATAGTTAAAACGAGCTCTAATAAAGTACGTAGTAACTCGTCGATGGAAACAATGTCACGGGCTAAAGTGTACACGAGCTAATCATAATAGAACGCAAGCCTTCTCTTGTACTGAATCGATTAAACCCTAAACTATTGCTGACGCTTAAACATACTGGTAATAAAATAATCTCAAATACTTTAACATCAGTATTTCAATATTGCACAAATCAAGCTTCATAAGCATTTGGACGTAAGATTACGTTTGACAGTAACATTAATAAATATCTATACAACATAACACACGACTAGCATCATAATACTTTTAGCTCCAATAAATAAAAAAATAATTTAATTGAACGTTTATAATGTAAAAGACGAAAACATTCGCTTACACACTTAGTAGTTACATACTCCTTATTCACAGGCCAAGAAACGATCATTCTATTTTAAAATATAAACAGTCGATAGATCTTAATGGTAAGTTAGAAAATATTATTAATATAGCTGTTATAGAAGGTACAGAAGAGAGGATAGTGACGTGATCTGCAGCTGCTGGTCTTCAGCGAGACTGCTTAGGACTAGCGATAGGAAATACAACCTCAATCTGCATCCAAGTCTTTTAAACAACAATAAAGTACTAATGCAGTGGATTGCAACACAACTCGAAATGTTTCACACTAAAATACCCACAAACCTTGAATGACATTAACTCGGAATTCCGAGTTACAAAAACCCGAAAAAATCGATCTCATCTGTTGTTTTTAAAATAGAACATCGTGAAGTAATACTAGATCACAGTCTATGTAAATAATACATTTAATTAGATAAACATTTACCTAAAGTTTGCTTTACAGGAAACATTGTTAGCGTCAATAAGACGCGGAGATTAAAATACTAAAAATTATTTTTAGTTTTTATTTTTTGTTCTCTAAAACTTTTTGATTGACTGAACAAAGTTATGTGAATTTGACAGACTATTCATTGAGTAAACATTTAGTTGTTTTTTTACTGGATAAATTACTGGCTAAAATGACACTACGTTTTCTACATAAATACAACCTTCAAGGCAGCTAGCGAGAGTACTTCCCTAACTTTGTCCAGCCAGTACAAAACAAGTTCCACGTAAACTACTTAATACGAAGTGTCTAACAGTAGAAATGTACAACGGTAACGACTATTAATAAGACGACGTTTTGACTCACACGAGTCGAAGTAGAGAGTACAACCCGGTCCTCTCACGTCACCTTGTAGAATTCACGTCAACGTTTCCGACGTCACAATGTCAAACACGGAACTTTTCACGTCAGCGTGCCTTCGTCGGTTCGTATCGTCATTTTCAAACTGCACCATACAATGAAGGAAGACAGGAGTGACTCCTATAAAGTGACGTTACCCCGTTTGCTTAATCAATCGATTTGGACGGCTTCACTCTGTCCAGCTTTTCAGGTTTCTCTGTACTATTCTGGCTGCCCCTGAAAACACATAAATAGAGATTATTGGTTATTTTTAAAAGACTGAATTACTTTTGAATTACATTGATGCTCAAGGGCCGATTTTTGCAACACCAGATAAATTTTAACTGAGGAACAAGTTTGAATATTTATTTGTACAATTTTCCATACTAAAAACTGTCAAATGACAATTTCATTATACAGTTAAAAATTTACTGGTGATTGGAAAATCGGCCCTAAGTGGACATTGATACCAGAACAATTGAACCCAGGGAAAATGTCGTAAGAAGAAGAAGTTATTTACGTTGGCTGCATGTGGTGATCAAAATCAGAAATATGCCAACTCACCAGTTGAGGCTCAACCGTCACAACATGTGGCAGAGCCTGGCCTTGTGCTTGGCCTTGGGCGGCAGCTCCTCCTGCAGCAGCGTGGTGTGGTGGTTGTCGCTGACCACGGTGCTCTTCTTCACCAGCGCCGGCTGCTTCTCGCTTTCCCGAGAGCTTGCCGCCGCGTACATTGATCTGAAACATACTTTGGTTTTATTTTGATTTTACAACTGTTTCTTCTGCTCTTGTGTTTTATGTATGTTTTGTTTCCTATCCTTGATTTTTACCGTTTATAATTACTTTACTTATACTATTTACATGATTTATATTTTTTATTTTTCGCTTAGGTTTTTTATTTTAGTGACGTAATTTATTACTATTTATTTTTTTAACTTCCTAATCGCTATTTATCTACGTAAAATTTCAAACTAGGTAAATAATTACTTACGTACTGGATAAAAGTAAATTGCAACAAAGTAAAGAATGCTGATAAACTGCCGTATAAAAGCATCACTAAGCATTTCAAAATCACTCGATAAAATCTGTTTTACAACGCCTAGTCTACCATTTGCAAAGTAAAGTACCCAAGTTCTACAAATGCACTGAAGCCAAGTTACTGAAGAAGCAGTACATCAGTCCTTACCTGGTAAGCTTACTCCTGGCAGGTCTGGTGGTGAAGTTGGAGCTCTTGCCTCTCCTCAAGGAGTGGAAGGAAGTCTTTAACGGTTTCACCAGCGCCATGCTGCTACTGCTCTCAGGTATCGGTTTTGAGCAGTTCAATGTCTGTACTGTTAGCTCCACGTCTTTTATGGGCTCATTTAATGCTGAAAAATTTAAATTATAATTTTATACCAAAAAACCGAATATCTATTATCGTTTTCGCTGTATGAATTTCTTTGGGATTAGGTCCTTCCAAATAGGTGGCAACGCATTTGTAATTCCTATCATGTTGTAGGGTGCCCATCTGATGTATCTACTAGTTTGCGCTTCTAACCCATAAAAAACAAAATCCTGTACAAATGGGCAAGAGTTCATAATACCATATTCATTTTATTCCTTCATAACACTTACCAGTGAATTCCTCAATAGGCTTATCAATAGTGTCATGGTCGATCCACGTAAGTCCCATCTCCACCTTCTCCGCGAGGTCCTGCCATCGTTGTCGGTTGTCCATAGTGCCGGTGTACAGGGGTTGTATCCAGGGGAACGTGTCTGAGAGCACCTTGTATAGCGGCAGGCAGATCATGTCGATGAAGCCTACTTGCATCTGTGGCAGTTCGTCTTTTTTCTCCCTAGAAGTAGAAATATTGAGATCAGAGCTCAGTAATTGGGTTCGGGATACACGCCGCGTTTATCTGGTGTTAATAATCCCTAATTTTTTATAGATTTTTGAACCTTAGCACTTCGCAATTACGTTGAAAATCTAACCAATAAGTATTTATGATTGACAATTTATAGTAATTTAAAATTTTGTCGTCAGCAGCATTGAATTTCAAAAATTGGAATCGGTGTTGGCTAGTACCTGTCCATCATAGCGATGGGTTGTTGGTTTAGCTGCAGTTTCTCCAGGTCTCCCTGGTCGAAGAATTCGTCGGCCACTAGTTTGGCCACCTTGTGTTGTACTTCCCAGGGCTTCGCTATTGCTGACACGTCGCATGCTGTCATCATCATGCCACAGAGCACTGAAAACAGAAAAATATTTATAAGTTCATCATATTTATGTTTAGTACAATGCACAATTTTATTGTGCATTGTATTGAGAATGTAAGATAAATGTTCTCTATCTTACATTCTTTCTTCTCTTGACTCTGCCAATCAAACTCTCCATTCTCCACGAGCTCGTGGAACTTAGCTCTCTTCTTGAAGTACATCGCAAGGTCTGTCGAGAGGATCGCGGTTTCTACCACCCTCATCACATCTTTATAGTCGACCGGTGACAGTGCCTGGAAGATATTTTGGTAAAATCAGAAAGATTGTGGTTGATAGATATTAATGAGTACTTATAACCAGTAACTGAGTGAAGGAAAATAGTTAATGAACATTTTGGCAGCATGTACTTTTGTTTTATGTATCCTTCTTGTGAAAAATTAAGAGAAAAAGATAGTTTAACTCACCTGGAAAATATTATTGCTCTCACTATTAAGAATCATGACACACTGGTCGAAATGATGATGTTCCATCGTGGAAGTCGAATACAATATTGCCAGTGGACTCTCTGTCTTCGTCTGGAAGGCATTGTTGGTCCCTCTATGGTCCAGGTCGTGACATAGACAGGCTACCAGAAGACCCAGGATCTCCAAGTCTGACATGAATCGCTCCATCTTGCCTGTCTTCAACATTGCGAACATGGTCTGAGCTACGTTGAGTGCGTGCCTCCAGTTATGGTACTTCACTGGACGGTAGTTCTTCTTCACGCTGAGGATCCAGCGGCAGAGGACCTGGTAAGTACATCGATAATGGTTAATTAAGCTATTCTGACAATATTTTATTGATTTCCCATAGTATAGTTGGACTGCCTCGTTGGCCGAATGGTCGTCAGTGCGACTGCCGGGCAAGGGGTCTCCGGTTCGATTCCTGGGTCGGGCAAAGTATTAATGGGTTTTTAAAAAAATTCACAGTAGTAGCACGGAGTCTGGAATTGTGCCCGGTATATGGCAATAGGCTCACCCCCTATTACATGGGACTCATAACATAAATAGTGAAAAGTGGGTGTTACATTGTACAGTGGCATAATGTGCACCTCTGCCTACTATTTACGTGTTAGTATAGTTGCTTTGAGTACTTTGAAGTAGGTAAAGAATTTCACCGACGGGTTGTCAATTGCGTACTTATTAGGTAGGTTCTTGAAGTGTTAACTGCTTTGACATTGACATGTGATAAACTTACATCGTAAGGAATGTGGAACTTCTCAACCAGGTTGCATTGTAGGAACATACGCAGCGTCGCTCTGCACGTGTCTTCGTCTGTTAAATCAAAATCTGGAAACGAAATATTTCCTCATTTAATTTTGTCTATGTACTTTATACGATTACAGATACCAAGTTTTCTTTATAACATCTACAGCTTTATACTGCAAGCTGTTATGATTTTATAGTCTTGGTCCTTAATTATCGACTTCAAAAAAAGGAGGAGGTACTATGTTCGGCGATTGTTTTTTTTTGTTTGTTCGCGCAGTTCTCCGCCATTTGTGAACCGATTTCCAAAATTCTTATTTTGTTTGAAAGGGTATACTCCCGAGATGGTCCCATTTCCATGTCATAATGATATAACTTATTGCCCACAAAATTTCGAATTAGGTACCTATTAAGATTTTAATGAGTAATTTTCTATGGAACTTATGGCACCGACTTACCTATCAGTGGGTGGGTAACCTATCAGTACTAATAATAGTTATTTTTTGCTTTTTAGTTTTGACTTTTTGTTTGTTATTAGTTTTTGGTTTTTTGAAGTCAGTGTTTTCTCATTATATTTTTTAAAATATTCTTTTTGAGTTTACAGCTATTTTACTGATGACTTTACCATGAAACTGGAAGCTGTACAGATTGTAGATCTCTGCGGATGGAATGTTGTCGTTACATAGTTTGCTCGTATCTTCTGCGGAAGCCGTCGCGTGGTACGACAGGCATTCCAGCGCCACCTGTTGAGATACATTTGTACTATCTTAAGTACATATACAAGGTGAATGAAAGGGTATTTGTAATTGTGTATTTGAGTAGCAGCTCAGTAATAATATTTATTTATATAGTTATTTGAATTAGGTATATAGTTTATTAATTTAGATACTACTAGCTTTTACCCGCGGCTTCGCTCGCGTCACAAAAGGATAAAAAGTAGTCTATGTGACATATACCAATACATAAAGTGCCATCTATACCAATACTTTTGCTTTTCCTCGGGAATATCTCATTTTTTCGGGATAAAAAGTACCCTATTATTTAATCCAGACTTCTAACTTTACGTCTGCAAAAATTCAAAGCAATCGGTTTAGTAGTTACGGCGTGAAATCGGAACAAACAAACAAACTCACTTTCCAATTTATAATATAAAGGACTTTCCAATTTATAATATAAGGATTCAATTGTATAATACCTTCTGTTTAGCCATGAGTTTGCAAGCGTTTTCATACATCTGTGTGTTGTGTATCCCAAGCCCACAGAAGATGGCGAATGCTTCGAATATCGAAATGTCGCCTTCGGTGAATTGGCAGCCGTTATCCTGGAAAGTAAAAATATTCATATATATAAAAATCTAACATAACAATAGAATACTATGGACAAAGTTTAAATGTAGACTTTATTTTCTTATTATTAAGGTAGGTTATTCAATGATATTGTTACACTTATTAACATTGGATAGAAACAGCAAAATAAGTGAAAACTATAACATAATTATAATTAATTGGTTCTAACCTTATTGATAAGCTGTGCCACGCCAATAACGTCCTTATTAGCATTGACAATAGGCATACACAGCATGGTTCTGACAGTGGCGGCATCATCCACGTCTAACGCGTTCATACCGTTCTCCCGCCTCCAGTCAGCCACGTCTGAGATGTTCAGAGCTTTGTTTGACTGCGCCACCTGGAATGGGAAAATTTGGAAGAGTTTTAGAAGGCTTCTTGGTAAGTATCAGTGTATCAGTCTATTTGGTGAAAGAGTAGAAAATCAGATTTCTTTTTATTTTTTAGAAAAGAAACATTGTCCCACACTAGGGATTTTCCTTGTGTCGTGGGTGCGTTTACAAACTTACAAGTTCATATACACATGACACCCAGACCCGAATCAACAATTTGTGAGTCACACAAATAGTTTCTCCGTGCGGGAATCGAACGCGCTCCACGTTGCGCGGTAGCAAGTTGGGCATCCACCGCATCCACTGTGCAGACAAGTTGTTGCTTGGCAGTATTTGTTTACCGTTTATTTACATGTATTATACATTTATTCTCTTCAACAGTCCGCTGTAGGACTAAAGGTTCGATGTAAAAGTGATTTGCCATAATCCACTTTATAATTTATATATCAGTAATATTAAAACTATCAATCTGCATTAGACAGCCGTGGTGAATGTAGTGATCAATACGAACCATTTTACTTTCTTTACGTAAATCGAATTATACTTAAATTATTTAAAATATATTTATCTAAATGTTCCCTTACCGCTAATGCAATAGAGGCTAGTGTAGACTTGTAGTCATGTCGTGGTGTGAGTGTGGTCCTGGACTGGTGTGCCCCCAGCTCGAACAGTGTGTGGAACCTGGTGGGAGCTGGTGGAGGAAGCGCCGGCATCGCTGACTTCTGACCGCCAGGACGCTGGACTATGCGCTCTAAGTGACTCTGGAAACGGTTGAAATATTATTTTCATGAGTTTTACTTTTACTAGGTCTATACTAGATTTTCAGTAGATTGGATTTTGTTAAGGTAAGAACACAAACATGACACAGGACATTGTTCCTGTCTTAGAAGATTTTTATTGGTAGATAAAATGTAAACTGTCTTATCACTACATACTGTATAAATTACCTCCCTCAAGACGTCATCAAGTTACGACTATTACAATTACAACTTACAAGGCAACTTCTTTTTAACTTGTGACACTTTTAGAATCATCTTTTAATGTTTTTCCAATCCATACATACCGATTCACAATGATCCGTATCCGAAATGAAGACAGCACACCGTTCACACTTGAGAAGTTCTCTCGCTTCTGTCATGATCTTCGTGACCAGGCACTCTAAGTTGCTCTGCTCCTCAAATATACTCCTGGCCAGCGCCAATAGAATCTGGTTCCTCTTGTACTCCAGCACTGAGGACTCGAAGAGTTGAGCATTCTGGATGCCGATACCACAGAACGTGAGGTAACGTCGAAACACTTCCACGTCTCTGGGGGAAAATTCTTTGGATCCTGAAATATTAATATTATTGTGTTTTTAGAAGGACAAGATAAAATACATCAAATATAGCGTTGTTGTAATCGAAAGATAACTGTCGAGAAGAGGGTGGAAGATGACAGAGGTAGTAAATATCTCGGACTACCTACTAAAAAAAACTATGAATATCATGAATTAAATTACTAGGTACAAGAGTATGCAATTAAAAACTAAATTAAAAACATGAACTGATCCGCGAAAATACTCTCAATAATCCAAAGTATCAAGTTTAAAACTCGCAAAATGAACACTACGGCGACGCTATGAAACTATCTAAAAATAAAAGTTATTCCTTAGAATGTAGCACGGAGCGGGGCTTAGTCGAGTCTATCATAAATTTAGTTATAACAGTTAGGAACCAACAAAGGCTTTGGAAGTTGCGAGCCCCGGGAACTTGGTGAAAAGTCGATGCCACGGAATCTGCACGAAATTCAATTATGATTAACTGGAGGAACAGAGATCTATGTAGATGTGCGAGGCTTCGAGTATTGGCTCCGGGAATTTAATTTCGAGTTCACTGTTTAGTTTTGTATTGTATTAATTTTGAAGCGGATATTGGGATCCGAATTAATACGGGAGATGATTGAAACTGTGGGTGACGGAATTAATCTTAACTTTGATGACTTTGAACGTGAAATACGTTTAGAAGATGAAGGCGTTTGAGAAGTGTTAATTGTAAAGAAACCTTAATTAAATTGTAGTTACAAATACCGACCTGCCGCTTACTAAATGTACGATGTATTGGTGATAAAACAAAAGTAGGAACAAATTAGATATATCTTGTGTCTGCTTTTCTTTTGATCCTTAACACATTAAATGCCATGGGGGTCATCGGTGACCGATGTTAGGGGAGGATTTTCTATTGGTAGTCAAAACCTTAAGAGAAATAAACTGGGCAAGATAAAACGTAGTGGGGTAACTTAAAATAGTCAATAAAGGTAGTACAAAGAATGTACACAAAGCACCGTTAATTAGTTAGCGGCGCTACACATCGACACAACTATCATTTACACAATATACATGTGTGGGTAATTTCATATCAATAGATATGTATAGAAACAATCGTCTATCACACACATCTTGGTATTTAAAAATCATTTTTGTGTCGGTATACGCAATAATTTAGTAAATAAGTTTAAATAAAAACGAGGGTAAAGATAAAATTACTCATAACAAACTTTGAATAAATCGAAATCAAAAATAATGAACGATCGAGCTATACAATACCCATATAAATATAGTGCTTTCTCATTGTAATTTTATGTTACTGAATGATATAAAATATTTCGATGATCTCATCTACAGCGCGCTTGGCGCAATGGTTATCGCCTCCAATTGTCAAGTAAAGTGCCGCCGGATCGATTCCAACATTCACATGTTGTTTTAGAATTAATTTATCAAATATTTGAAATTTGAAATTTGAAATTAGAAACAATTAAATCTTTTCTTTTTTTTCCTTTCCTATTGTTCTAAATCTTATGTTAATTTTAATAGTAAATACTTTAGATTTATATACCTATAATATCTTTTATTTATATTTTAGTTCTAGTTATTTATTATTTAGAATAATCTCATTTGCTTTATGCATTTCAACCAACTTAAATAAGATAAAAACAGTAAAAAAGTAATTAACTGTGATTTCTTAATGGTTCGATACCTGAGTATATTTGCAATGTTTGTGGCGACCATAGAAATCTCGAGTCATTTTATTTTACACGCTTATGAAGTAACTACCGACTATTTAAAACATGTTTTTCAAATCACCCGACTTACAAAATAATTGCGTTCTTAGTTGTCAATTTATGAGGATTTCATAGTTTATTGCTACACTACTTATATTCGTGTGCAAAGTTATTTTTATTTTTACAAGATGTTCCAACACCTATCAACATTTAAAAAGGCTGAAACCATTGTTTGCATGAGCAAAACATAACTAACAATAACTGAAATAGCAAGGCGTTTAATGATATCGGTGAGTAAATAAGATACTACGTTGTTATTCTAAATAATATTTATTTCATTTTGTAACTCGACACACCTATCAATTTTTGCACTAGAATAAAATAATTATTGCAACTTATTATGAAGTTCAATATTATAAAGATATATTAATAATTTATTATTAATTGTATTGTAACTTGACTTGTTTTTGTTAGGAGTGTTTCTTTAAAACATATCTGGTTAGGGATTTTTATTCCTTACGCCACTACTTAATTATAAATTATTATTCTAACATTGTGTTTACTTATTTTATTATTATTTTTAAGTAACTTTAATTCCTGTAAAGTATTTCCTGGTATTTTAAATACTTATTTGTTTGGTATCAACAGAGGAGATCCATGCAGTTATGGGTGCACAGATATGCGGAGACCGGTGACGTTAAACATCGTCGACGTGGGCCTAAACCAAAGGCAAATTCATCGGCTCGGCACTACGACGTCGTAGCCAGGCACATGGCTGATCCGTTCCTGCCAACCCGCACTACAGCGACAGCACTGAATGTTTTAATACAAACTGTACGGAGACACCTGCATTCTGGTTTAAGGTGCAGGAAGCCAGAGAAGAAAACATGTTATCTGTGGTTCACCAGCAAAAGCGCTAAGAATTTTTAAAGGACTTTATAATTTTGATTGGGCGAACAGTGTAATCATATTGAGCGACGAAAAGACTTTCAAGTCGGATAAGGATGGGCGTAAAATATTGTGAAGAAAAGATGGAGAAAGGTATACGAATTGCAACCTTCTGCCTTGTAGGATCAGTGATTGTATTGATTTCGGAATCAATTATTGAGCCTGTCAAACTCTGCCTTTATTAAAATTAACATAAAATAATGTTTAATTTTTTAAGAATATTAAAATGCTGTCTAGAACATACGGTGAAGTGATGTTATTGTTTTGTGGTTAGAAATTGTCATAATTTCTTTCTATTCAACATGTTTATTCACTTCACTTAATTTTTCATTAACAAATTTATTTAACTGCTTTCGAACTTGATTGACATATTATATTTACGCCCATCTTCAATTAATTTAAAGTTTCCCTGATTCTAAAGGTCATGAAAGTTAAAATCGTTCCATAGCATTCGTCACATTCTTTTTACTATCATACAGCCCACTGAATATTGAACCTTATAACAACCGTCGTAAAATAGATAATTAATGGAAGTTCAAACGACAAAAAGTCGCCCATTTCAAGAAATTTTACATGTAAATTTTTTACATGTTTACTTGTTTATTACTGTAAAACTGTAATTTAATAATACATTATATTATTAAATTACAAAACAAGAATGTTGTATATTTGTTTATTACTTAATAAAAAATGTTGCTGCCATCGTATTACCGCTGTACCGCATGATATTTCCCGATTCGACTATGAGGTTTATTGTCATATCTATTAATTATGATTTAAAGAACTTTAAACTTAACATGTGGTATATAATTAATTATTAGATATAAATATTGAATATAAAACAACATATTTGTATAATAAATAAATTAATTGTAATAAAAAATAGTATTGTTTTTATTTACCAACTCATTTGCTTCTTTTATAGCCTGATATTTATATTTTATGACAAAAAACAAAAAACAAAAAAAAAAAATAAGAAAAATAACAAGGTAAAATAAAATTAACTTTTAGGCTGGAATAGAACCCACATCATTGATCCTTGAAAGACGATAAAAGCGTGCTCATTAACCAATCGACCACGAGCACTACGATAATGACAGTGAAAATGTCGGGTCATATCAATGATTGTAAATAGTTTTAACCTTACCTATGCATTAAATTATAAAAATACGTATACCGACACAAGAATGAAAATACCAATGTGAACGTGGTGGACGAATATTTTTATATACAGTTATATGAAATTACGCACACATGTACACTGTGTAAATGACAGTTGTGTCGATGTGTAGCGCTGCAACTAATTAGCGGTGCTTTGTGTACATGATGATGTAGTAAGTGTACTGACCATCAGTCTTGTTGATGATCTGTGCGACTCCAACGACGTCACCCTCGTAGTTGCAGATTGGCATGCAGAGGATGAGCTCCGTCTTGTAGCCGGTGCGAGCGTCAATCTCACTGTTGAACCTGAAGCAGTTTACGTTTTCGAATGAGAATAGAATAATGTCGAAGAACCAGGTGCACAAATTAATTTAGAAATATGTGTTTTTGACAAACATAAAAATGTTATTCAGTTTCGTTCAACTCGGTTTTGGAATATTCGTAAGTTTTCCTATTCTGGAATAGACAGGGTCTTCAAACATCTGTTTGTTAAACTGTCAAATACCAAGCGGTCACCGGTGACCGCGACCTATTGTTCTTTACCTTTTCGCCGCCCAGCTATACTAAACACGATGTGTCGCCGTACGCCAACGTATAAATGTATAGTACGAAAGTAGGGATGGCGGTAACATCATGTCGATAATGAAAAAAAATATGTGTAAATTTAAATTGGTACTCAAATTTACAATTAAAAATACAAACTGTTAAGTTATAATGGTAATTTGTTTTATTTTATGAACATTTATACTAAGAAAAATGGGTATCCGTTATCAGAGATGAAGATACATGCATAGAGTTGCTAGAGATAATAATAATAATTCGTAACATTAGCCACTTCACTATTCATTTCATAACGTAGTCTGTTTACTTCATATCAAGTCATTGGCGTTCAAAGCACGATACATTTCGTAAGGAATAGTTGTCTATGCTTTTCTTTCTTTCTATCGAGTTTGGTTTGCTTTTGGTTTTAGTTTACATTTAAAATCTAACGTCAGGTCACGATCAGGAACATTGTTTGTAGTGATTAAAAGTGGCAACATATGTGTAGTTTTGGAAATGGATGGTAAGTAACTATTTTAATACAGATGTACTAAACTTTAATAGCTTATTTTTCATTTAATGCAAATGAAAAACTGGCACGTTTGATGGATATTAGGTAGTCATAAAATACCTATTCGTTGCGGCTCTCGGTTTCGCAAACTTTTAGCTGTGTCGGCGAACAAATATAGACCTGAGTCGATCACAAATTTTTCGCGACCCAAACAGTTTGTAATCGAATCAAAATGACTCAATCATTTGGATATTTCATAATCATGAAAATAATTATAGGTATAGGCCGTGCGATTAATCGATTAAGTGCGATTGCGTGCACGCGTCGCCCGGAACTATGACACAATGACCTTGACGCCTAAGCGCTTACGACGTCACAGGTTTACTTCTATTGAAGTTGACGGCGCTAGTGTCACTCGACATCTTGCCATTACGTAGAGATGGGTCTAGCAATATCGAAAACCCTCAGTACATAATAATTAATTTTAATGAAATGATTTGATAGGTAGATGTACATTAATTTTGAAACGCATTGTAATACGTTATTTACTGACCGGAATTTCTTTTTATTCATAGAATTCAAAAAACTATTGGATGGAAAAGAAAACAAATATTATAGTAAATAAAGATTCTAATGAATGCTCCTTACGCGTCACATCACTGGCCTACTTGATATGAAGTCGTTGGCGTGCGGGATATAAAATTATTTGAAACCTTTTATGTTTTACCTTTTTAAAACAGAAAATAGTCTGTTTTGCATGAGAAAAAATAGTTCGTCGTGTCCATATTACAAAATTACAAAGAAACAAATGTTTTATGTATCGTAAATGTATTTTTTATAGTAGGTAGATACAATGAACTTCTATAGAAGTAGTGGCGTGGACGGCACGAAAATCCTGAACTTCTATAGAAGTTGTTGGCGGCGAAAAGGTTAATTGTGTCTATAAAACCGGTACTCGACGAGTTAATATCTTGTGTAGGAGAGCCATGCTTCGGCACGAATGGGCCGGCTCAACCGGAGTGATACCACGGCCTCACAGAAAACCGACGTGAAGCAACGCTTGCGTTGTGTTTCGTCATATGAGTGAGGTTACCGGAGGCCCAATTACCCTCCCCTTCCCCGATCTCCCCAATTCCTGAATCTCCAACGATCCTCAAACTCCTAATCCCCAACAGGCCGGTAACGCACTTGTAATGCCTCTGGTGTTCCAGGTGTCCATGGGTGACGCTGATCGCTTACCCTCAGGTGATCCGTTGGCTCGTTTACTCAAGTGCTCGTTCGTCTTAATATGTTCAAGACTGATACCTTTATTTAAGAAACATACCTCGGGTCAGCATAAGCGTTCTTGATATTGATAGGGTATTTTGTCTGTGCTGCTAGTCCTGCTACCCCTACACCAAAAGGGATCTTGATTTCTTGTGACCGCGCTGTTTTAAGAGCATCGGTTAGTTCTGAAACAATACAAGCAAAACATGAGCAGAAGGCTCATTTTGCACAAATGTTGAAAAGATAAGACTTTGCACAAATTAATGCTCAAGTGTGGGAGAGCCATGCTTCGGCTCGAATGGGCCGGCTTGACCGGAGTGATACCACGGCCTCACAGACACGCTTGCGTTGTGTTTCGTCGTGTGAGTGAGGTTACCGGAGGCCCAATTACTCTCCCCTTCCCCAATCTCCCCAATTCCTGAATCCCCAACGATCTTCAAACTCCTAATCCCAAAAGGCCGGTAACGCACTTGTAACGCCTCTGGTGTTCCAGGTGTCCATGGGCGACGCCGATTGCTTACCATCAGGTGATCCGTCTGCTTGTTTACCGGCTTATGCCATAAAAAAAAATATTTCTGAAACTTCTAATAAAGATCACGTTCCCCCTCCAATCGTAAATAAACACAAACAAGCGTAAAAGAACAAATTTAAACCACCTAGTTTCCAACAGACGTTTATTTCCTGCAAATGCTGAAAGGTTGTCGACTCCATTAGTTTCAGGTTTCAGCAGTTTTTCAGGCAATTAGCCTAATTAGTGCTCAGTACTTCGGTGACCTTAGAGGGGTATACAGGACAGTAATGGGGTTGGATGGGGTAACTATATCACGAGCTAATATGTGCCTAGGGTCAAGGTAGTGTTTATTTATTTAGCACTTGTCCTAATTACGAATGCTAATTACAAGTTACTAATTGTAATTTGAGGTAATTTGGGATTGTCAAGTATCTAGTCTGAGATTTTGAGCCCTCTTTTTAACAATTGACAATTAAATATTTTGATGGAATATATTTTAGAAAGTCCTACGAGTTTATCCGACGTGCTAAAAAAACTTTTTTATTATTATTATCTGAATTACATAATTATTATGTTTTCGGCTTACTTACGTAACTGTTTGACGAGGAATTTGACTAGTGACTAATTTAGTATGTCTCACAAACATTATAACATTATTATCTGATTCTAATAAAACACTACAGTTACTTACAAAAAGTAAATAAAGTAACCTTACCAAACATTATCCCCAAATCACATTACATTATACATTGATTACATCAAACGCGTTAACATGAAGAAAAATACCGACATGAAGTCATTTCAATCAAAAGAGTATCGTGAATTCGTAACATGAGCCCCAATCACATCAGTAGCGAGCCAATCAATCGGTGACGCGTGAAATCTTGATCGGAACACCCCCAGGGTGATAGGAATCCGCTGTGACGCCGATGCCGACTACAAGTTCTATTTTTAGACCACATTCTGTCGCTGTAGTAACCCCCTGTATGTTGTACAGTTCCCGGCGATAAATATTACACATAGAATTTTAAAAACAAAACATTTTGTATTCTCATTTTTTGTTACTTAGGATCATTATATAAACGATTGCTTTGTGTTTAGTTGTGTGACTGAAGTTACCTGAGACTCAATGCTAATTGTAACTCTTTTACTTTCTTTTCTTACGCTCTGGTGAACCGACTGGTCTTTTGACAACTGATACCATAAAAATATTTAAAAAAAATATATAAATGAATATAAAACAACGGTCGATGCACATTGACCATTGTTTTTTTCTCTGAATGAAGAGAATGTCCATAGCATTAAGTCCACCTTGTACCCAAGTGTGTGCAAACAAAATGAAGCCTTTTAAAATATAAAGATGTGCAATAATTATCGCCTGGTATCGTATAATGTTTATATGTATTGTCAGTAATCCTACAAGCGTGTTTATCAAAATATTTTCTTGTTCTATCTTTATTTAATGTTGCTTACTTGTTGTCTTTTGTTTTTTTTGGCCTTTTTGTTTTTCTCGATATGAAATATATGAATCGTGGTGAAGTGTGGTTGCGGTAGAGTTTTAGATGGGTGGATCTTCGGGTAACGACTGTTATAGCTAGAGAGTCAGGCCAAGTTATTGGATTTTTCATTCCAAAATTCTGTCATATTTGTTTAAATCTGTCTGTGGTGTCGTTGTGGCTCAGAAGTCTTAAGACGCCCACTTCTAATGCATGAGAGTGCGGGTTCGAAACCTACCAACAGTTAGTACCAATGTGACTGTTTCCGAGTTATATGCACTTTCTAAGATTATTTAGACACCACTGACAAACGATGAAGGAAATCATCGTCGAGGAAATATGGGCTTTTAATTTATAATTATAAGTTTGAATTCGCCAACCCACATTGATCGAACGTGGTGGTTATGCTCATACCTTCTCCGTGTGAGAAGAGGCTTTTGGTTAGCAGTGGCCACTTATAGGCTGTTGATGTGATTTGTGTATGTAGTGTTACAATAGAGTTTGTCATCTATTATTATTGAATACTAGCGAAAGGTAGAAGTACCGTTTTGATAATAAATTTTGGTCGTAGAGAGACGAACATTTAAGTATACGAATGTGGCGCCAAACAAGATGTCATCATGCAAAAATAAAACTAAAAAATAAACCCTGTTTAAACAAGTGAACAAAACACTAATAAAATGTTATTACCTATCAAATTTGAATGCTAAACATACGTAGAATAAGGTTGAAAACGTATTAATTACAGATGAACAATGATCCGATATCTTAATAATAAAGATTATTGTCCATTGAATTGTATTATTGCGTTGGAATAGTTGTCACAATGGAACATCAGAATAACGTTACACCTTGATATGGTGTTCGCACACTATTGTGGTTATTTTTATACTATTTAAGACTGTTTTGGTAAGTTTATTGAGGTGACCTTGAAATTCTTTCATCATTAGTTATTGTCATTGAAACTTTAAATCTACAATAAAGCTGAAGAGTCTGTTTTGTTTGTTTTAACGCGCTAATCTCTGGAACTACTGGTCTGATTTTAATAATTATTTTTGTGTTGGATAGTCCATTTATCGAGGAAGATTATATATGTAACATCACGCTATGACTAATAGAACCCAGAGAGGGTGAAATCGCGCGAAAGTAGCTGCTAAAATAAAGACTTCAAGTTTAAAACATTGACATAAAATACTCTTGAATTGTCCAAATTATTTAGTTTGAGATCAGTAATGAGTGACAGACTCTATTTGAGTATTTAGCTCGGAACAACTGAGCGTATACCACTCATTAGATTTAATAGTAACCAGTTATAAGGCTCGATTTCAGGCTATTTATTACTTGACAAAAAAACCTACATAGGAGTATATTGTGAACTCGTTTATCTAAAAATACAAACTGATTCATTTATGAATGAGTTTTGACTCGCAACTAAAACCGGCTGGCGTAGCTTAACCTGCAAAAGCTTAGTGACTTAGCTACAGCCATACGGATTAGCCGACTTACACTCACAAACACTAAATGTCAGTTCTAATTTGAACCTTCTCACATTCTCTAAAAGTCTTAATTGGCCCAATACGACGTGCAATAAACATTTCGTTGAAATGTATCGCTTTTATGACAACACTCCCAATTTCATGAATAGTCTCCACTCAAGTAATTTTCTCTTTTAGGAATGAACGAAAACGTGGGTCGTGTCGGTGTCGGATGGTTCACATTCCACACGAATTGCTGTCGAAGCGAGAAGGGTTAGTACCGTGACGTAACTTCATTTTTTAACCTTTGAATTTCAACCTTTTTTAACAAAGTCCGCTCCGTACTTTTTATCAAATAGATTCCCAAAAGATTGGGTGATTGGGTGGCTGTGTCTTGTATTCATACATGCCATTTTTATAACTTGGTTCTTTAAATGTTAGTTGTTGGTTGAAATAAGTGTCTAATAGTGTCCAGTATTTAAATGTGTGAATAATTTGGCGAAGAATATCAATTTTTCAGAGACTAGAACTTAAACTAGAATTACATTTAATTAAAGACTCAATTTTATTTGTGTTACAACATACAACTTCTAAACTATAAGTTACTAGTTTCTGCCCGCGACTTCGTACGCGTAATCCCATTTTTTCCAGTCCCCGTTCGTGACTTTCGGTAAAAAGTAAAAAAAAAAATGTTGGTAAAAAAGTATCCTATGTCGGTCTTCTGGCTCTAAGCTACCTCCCTACCAATTTCAAGCCAAATCTATTCTGCCGTTCTTGAGTTATAAGTGGTGTAACTAACACGACTTTCTTTTATATAGAGGTATATAGATAGATTGTACAAACAAACATTCCTTTAGTCAGCCAAAAAATAACCTCATTGATCCTGAATTTTTTGCACAAAACAAAAAAACAAAACCACAAAGGTAAACCTCATTGGTAGCGTACGTTAGAACAGTAACCTGTCCCTATTACTGCGATATAGCGCAGGTCACGTCCACGGGAAATGTGGCGAACGTGTCATTACATTGTGTTTCACGCGTCACCCAACCAGGTTACGAGGAAACGTTTGTAATAGTACTTTTTCACGCGCCACCCGCGCCTGGTTAAGCGGGAACATTTGTGCTTGTACTTTTTTGTGTATGTCATCACTGGTAGAGCTGTTGCTATTTAATTAATGTCTCTTGGTGGTGTTGCTATGATTTCGTTATGTTTGGTTAGATTTTTGACACTCGTTGTCCTTCAAAGCATGGTCAAGGCTTAGCCAGATACTATTGTAGTAAAATGTGGTAGGTATATTATGTACCTCCGATTAGATAAGATATTAAAGTATAGGCAGTGTGCAGGTGAATAATCGTATTGTAATCATACCTGTACAGTTGGTGACCCTTTTAGTATATAGTAGCAAAATAAATAGGAAGATTCAGCGCCAACAGCCAGAAGTAGCCACTGCTGACCAAATGCCTTTCACACGGAGAAGGTTTGAGTGTTAATCACTGGTTGGCAATGCAAAGTTATAATAAGAAATTATAAGTCCAGGTTTCCTTACTATGTTTTTCTTCACCGTCTGTCAGTGGTGTCTAAATAATCTTATATTGGAAGGTATATCTAACGGAAAAGTCAGTTACTTGTTACAGAACGTAGATTCCCATTAATGATTTACTTTGACAGTCATATCGTTGACGTTTCCCCATTTAAAAGATTTTGTTTTTGTCATCATTTTCGGCAATGCCGCTGACACTCGCGTTCAGGGGTGCGACAAAATCGATTGCCGTGTAATTTTCCAGCCGAGGGTTGGAATTCATGAATCATAACAATTTGGGAGCGCCACCCCTTAAGAAATTGTCTGTTTATTTGGACAAAGATTTTTGGGTTACGTGAGTATTGAAGTTTGTTTATTGATTTTTGGAAAATGAAGTGTAATTTTTTAAAAGTGCATGTAGTTTTTGAATTCGGTTGAGTCATGATTTTTTTTGACTAGGTACCACATAATTTTGCAAGTAATGATAAAATATCAACCGAAAATTACGTTCAAGAATCAAATTACCTCCTTAGACTAATGGTGTATCGAATGAAGTATAGAATTAAGTATTGAGTACTTATTTAATAAACCCAGAAGCTCCCCAAATCAAGCCCTAATGTAACTGAGGACAAATATGACTATATTTTGGGCCGATTTTTTAAAAAAATGTAGTTATTTATTGGAAGAAAACATCAGTAGCCGACAGTACCTGTATCTCTGGTGACATCAAACAGTTTCGCCTGAAGATATCTGTTGGGAGGGATCCCCTTCGCCAGGAACAAGCTGCCTCGGTCTGCTGACGTTAGCAGGCACACGTTCACCAGGATCTGAGGACAATAGTACCACCATTAATAGACATTTACAAACAGAAAATGTACAGAGTGAAGCCTTTCTTTACCAGTAGACGTTTTTCGGTTGATGATAATTGATAACGTTGACGTAACAAATAATATTATAGCTATTTTTTTGTAGGATGGCAATTGCGTCTCAACTAAGTAGTTGGCAATATCATAGTTAGATTGTTGTGGAAGCAATGATGAGGTAGATCACGCCTTTTACCCCCGAAGAGGTAGGCAGAGGTGCACATTACGGCACTTAATGCCCCTGCACAATATAATATGAAATAAATAAATAAATAAATAAAAAACCCACTTTTCACTATGTTATGAGTACCATGTAATAGCCATATACCGGGCAAATTTCCAGACTCCGTGCTACTACTGAGTTTTTTTAAAAAAAACCCCTTAATACTACCTTACCCGACCCGGGAATCGAATCCGAGACCCCTTGCCCGGCAGTCGCACTTACAACCAATCAGCCAATGCGCAGAGGCTTAGGTGTTATACCTTTGTTTTTGTCACGAGCAGAGCTTTGCCGAAATTATAATACAGTTCACACTAAAAACAAACACATACAAGAGATGAGACAAATCGATATAATCCTCATTTGACTAAATCACTTCAGTAATTTATATGCAATAGGATAAAGTGGGGGTCTTGTGTTCTCGGCTTATTGTCAGCGTCCGCTTCGGAACGACCGGCTATTTGCATCCAAACAGTTAGCTTTAGCTTTTCTACTAGCTTTTTGTAAAAACTGCCATTATCTGACTTTATTACATTGTACAGGGAGTAATCAAGGAAATTAAGTTGTGTTTTGTATACCAAACTACACTAATCTGTCCTTCTCAATCGATGTTCAACCTTATAACTTTTGCCTTAAAATCGAAAATATATAAAACAGTTTTGGCTGTGTAAGGTTTATGTGTTCACAATCTGGGTGTCTGTACAAAGGCATTCAAATCAAGAAGTTACTAACTAAGGTATAAACAAAAGGAGGATTACAACTAATCTCGAAAGAGGTTTCAGTAAACGCGGAAGGTACTTAAGTACCTAGTCCAAGTCATTCTTCCATAGTCTTCCTTCTAAAGGGCTTTCTATTTCACTTAACCTACAAGGGCCCGCATTATGTGGAATAAAAATAGCCTAGCTTGACTTATAGCCGGGAATTAAGGGGCTTTTACGGGCACTAACTTTTGTTAAACAATGCCATCTATTGGAGAGGAAAGTAAATTGGGTCGTATGTTTACGTGATTTACTTAAGTACCGGGCAATAGATGCCGTTAGTTCGTGTTTGTATTCACTATTTGAAATTAATGAAGTGTTTTGTTTGAATTTATTTACTATCCATACATAATGTGTGCTTTGGGTTAAGAAGAAACCTAATGAATTATCATAACGACTTCATAAAGAACTAGTAGTATGCAAAGAATACTCCAAGCACAAACCTCATTTCTAAGTAGAGTTCTATTTCAGGAATACTTAAATAACAGTATTATCATTTCCACAAATAAAAATAAGTTCCTTCCTCCCCAAGAAACCCAGTAATCTCTTGAGTAACCAAACAACATAATCTTCTAGATAACTTTATAAGAAAAAACTTTAAAGTTCCGCCATTTTATTTTGTAAACTTCATCAGTACAGGAAGGATTACTACAAAGTACAATTTTGCTTGAAGACATCTTTACTTCAGACGGAAACCTAACAAACTCCTTTATACTTTTAATTAAAAACCGGCTGCTTCTAAAAACTTCGTAGTTTTTGTCAAAAAACCGTTAAGATAAAATATTTATGGTAAATGAGATTAGATTATGAAGTTAGACGAGAAAATTTCGTGAAGCCACGTCTTGTTTGGTGTTCTTTTATTTGGTTAAACAGTTTTGTAAGAAAATGAGAAGATTTTGTGTAATATTTTGTTTGTTTTCTTCATTTAATAAGTTACTTCGGAAGCCCCAGGAGTCGAGTCCTTATCATGCATTACAATACATATATCTAGTGAGCGTTCAATACTGGACTATGTAGTACTCCTCTACAAAGGAGGGAATTTCCATAATCACCACGCCTGGCAGGTGCATTAGCAATCGCAGTTTAAAATGATCAGGAATTCAAAAGTAAGCAGGGGGTATGTAAGTAAGTCAGCCCACACCATGCCTGTATACTAAGTTTTATTAAAATATGTCCAGTAGATTCAGCGTAATTGACGGACAAACATCCAAACAAAGAAACTTTCATATATATAATATTAATGTATTAGGTATTCAACAGCCATACGGCTAAGTCTATTTTTTTATTGATGGGCCGACGTTTAACCTATGTCTCGCCTGGTGGTAAGCGATGATGCGGTCTACGATGGAGTACGTCGACCCATGAACGGCCTATTCACTCGGACCATATTTACCATTGTCGTATACATTGATCTGTAGCTACTTAACAGACTTTGTAGGTTACAAAATGACCCATTTCAAAACATACCTCTTATCCACTCCATTCTCATCTTCCACAGCAATTGATTGCATTTTCTTGTCAACCATTTAACTATACGTCAAAGTTCGCATCCAGTAATCAGACTATCTTGTTTCCTACTTTCGAAGTAGCTTCAACATTGCAACGCTAATTGGATTGTTAACTTAGTTAGCTCGTAACTGGACGACTAAATGCAATTTGAGTGTATCTTGCATTACGTACTGAGTTGTATCGTGTGAGTTACTGACGTTGTTGAGAGAAATCAAAGATGGAAAATGATGTAAAAATATTGGAATGGAAATAAGCACAGAAATTGCTGTATCTACAAAACACTATTAATGTAATACTGATGAAAACTTTGTTGATGACTAATGTGACTTAATATACTTCCAATGACTGATGTGGAAGTTATTGGAGGAAATTAATAAATCATCAGCAGTGGATATCTTCTGGCCCAGATGACGAGGACGATGAACAGGATATAATGTGTTAATACCCTTAAAAATTTAAAGAAGATTGCCGAATATGAACAGATATGATTGAAGTTTGATACAGCATAGCGCGCAAACTTATCGTTGACTGTTGAAAGATTTAAATCAAAGTAACTTAAAATGAACAAAGAATGAATAAGATCAGGAGAAACCAAATAGCCAATCTCAAAAGAAGGAACAGAATCGTCCCAATCGCGATAGCTGCAGTAAATTTTAAACAAACATTTAAAGTTGGGACAGAAGACAGAAGCCAAACTATTGAAAACAGTCTGTTCTACTTTATCAATAGCTTGTATCTTGCCAAAAACCAAAAGTAGCGGTACTGTAGCCAGAATTTATTGCGATATTGTCAGCACGGATTCGAATCTAGATCACTGCGTCTCTGCTCTGATTAAAATTCAGTTGAAGAATTTTTAGCTCCCTTATTTAAGATCTAGGTATTATTTCTTTAAAGAAGTAAGTAAATAGGTCATTATAACCAAATTAATTTACTTTTCTCTAAGTATAGTAGGTATAATGCCAAGATTGTACTACTGCTCATCACTTCAGATCTAAATCCTGTGTCGTAAGAAATATTATTATTGATTAGATTCTTTAATACGTTCAGAGTAGCATAAATATAAAAATTCTTGCTACCTTTTTGAATAATATAAGCTACCAGTTTACATTTTCATCTCTTCTTTATCTTTTTTGCTTTATACCATAGTGGGATAAAAATCGACTACATACACCCAACTTTCTGTTCACATGGTTGTCAGTATAATCTAATCCAATAAACTTTAATAGAATTTCAACTTTATTATTTTGTCATAAAATTGAAATAGTCTAGGGTGGCTTCCGATCTAGGCCAATATAGGTTATTGGTTTTATGGCGTGTAAGTCATGTCACTCCCAAGAGATGGTAATTGAGGGCGCACCATGACGAGATAGCTTCAGTATTAATCTTGTTAAATGAACATGATAGACTGTCGTAAAGAACACTAAGTTTTTAGTAAGAATTAGGTCAGAGACCATCGCTTATTAACTCGTCGAGTACCGGTTTTATAGACACAATTAAAGAACAATAGGTCGCAGTCACCGGTGACCGCTTGGTGTTTGACAGTTTAAGATAGGAAAATAGGTGGTAGTAGAGCTAAACGTATTGATTTCATATTGTTTATTATAGGGAGACAAACAGACAGACAACAGCCGAATAGGAGACACTAAATAAAGGCTTGTAAAAATAGAAGATTGATATGGCTCTAGATTTAGAAAAAGTTACTAAACATTTTCACAAAATTAAAAATATTATAAATACCAGTAAAATAAATAATGAAGCAGGTAGAAGTACTGTCAAAAAACAAGAACTCAGCGAGTCTAAAGAAAATAATTTTGAAAGAAGAACAACAAAATATGCAATGTAAGCATTATTCGAACGTTCCAAGAACATTGCTGCCAGTAACAATTATCCGAGATGACAAGCACTTAAATATTCTTTCTTTGCCAACCTGACAGGGGGCGCCACCTACCTCTAGTCTATACGTGTTTCGCATTTATCAGAAAATCCACGAGCGTCAGACATTTTTCTTTTATTTCTTTGTAGTTTACATTTAAAGAGGAAAGGAGTTTGGTGAATTTAAAATAGGATGTGTTGGACATAGTGGGGGATGTTGGCTGTTTCATTGGATGAAGATGATGAGCATAGTGAGCCACATGCTCACTATGCTCATCATCTTCATCGATATTTATGAAACAGAAGTTTAGAAAAAGACATTTAAATGCCTCTAAAAGAGAGTCATGGTTGTAAGTAGTGTCATTTGGCATTGCCTATGCAGTCTACTGAACTAACTACCAGTGTTACCAGATAATACAAGCTCATCACGTAAATCATAAAAATCCTCATAAAGATTGATAACTTGAAAAATATACATATATTTTTCAATTTGCCTGAATCATAATAGGTACAAGATAGACGTACAAAACGTTCGCTAAACAGATTATAATCTTATAACAAACTTAAACAACAAGGATTTTGTGGGTAGACACAGTAGTGTAAAT